AAGGTTTGCAGAGATGTGGGAAGAGCTGTCGGCTGCGGTGGATTAACTACTTGAGGCCTGATTTGAAGCGAGGAATGTTCTCCCAACAAGAAGAGGATCTCATTATAAGTCTCCACGAAGTGTTGGGAAACAGGTAAGAACAGAGAGTGTTCTGTTGTTTATAATGTCGAGCTAGGTTCATGGTCGTGGATTTTGCAGATGGGCACAAATTGCGGCGCAGCTACCAGGAAGAACAGACAATGAAATCAAGAATTTTTGGAATTCAAGTTTGAAAAAGAAGCTAATGAAGCAAGGAATTGATCCGAACACTCACAAACCTTTGATCAAAGAGATTAAAGAGAAGAAAATCTTCGAAGACAAGGAATTCACCCAAATCCCACCGGTTCCAGGACTTTCCGGCGGCATCTCCGCCATACCCACTCAAAATCCAGCATTTCTCATCGGCGGTGCTGAGTACTACGACGGCGGAATGACGGCGCCGCCACACCGTGACCATTTCTTAAACAAACAAGCCCTTGATTCCCTCTGTTTTTTCGAGTTCCAAACAGGGCTGGACTCGAATTTCGGATTCAGTTCAGTGCCGAGTTTGACAAATTCCGACCATGGGAGCTTGTCGGGGACAGAATTCTCCGACAATTCTGGAGGATTCTACATGAACAACAACAACAACAACAGAGTGGATAATTCGACACTTTGTTCGTGGGAAAACGAGAATAAATTGGAGAGTTATTTCCAGATGCATGTGGATAATCATAGTAATGTGGTAAAGTCCGAGGAATTGAAGACAGTAACTGGAAGTTCAATGGTTGATGGGCAGCTGATTCAGAGTCGAAGCTCAGTAGATTTCAGTAGCTATCCATTAACGTCACTGACACAAGCCATTGTTGGAGGCAACTTTGATGTCTTCCACCATTTGTGAACTAATTGTACATTCAATCCTTCTCTCTCTTAAAAAATACACACAGATGTTGATAGTAATAGGGATTTCCCAAGAGAAAAAAAAAAAAAAAAGGTTTGATTTTTTTTTTCTTTTCCTTTTTGTTCTTGTAATTCTCTTCTATTTTCCACTTCTTTTGTAATATTTTGATTTTATGATGAGTTGAAATAATGTGAAAGAGTGAATCTTTGATTTCTATTCTTTTGTTTCAAATTCTTTCCATTTGGATAAAACCCATGTCTCCCGGTGCCAATCTGGGTCGTATTCTAGTTCAAATGTAGTTGATCATTTTCTCGAACCAGCTAGGTTCTGCATCAGTTGGTGAAGGGAATGAAACATTCGTTATAAGAGAGTGTGGAAACCTCTCCCTAATGAACGTGTTCTAAAATCACGAGGCTGATTGAGCTAAAGTGAACAATATCATCGTAGTATAAAGAAGACCCAGTTGTTATTTAGTACCCTTCTTCTAAAAACACAAAAATAAAGAGTCGGGCATAGCATGTTTGTAGGGGAATTCTACATCGATGAAGTGTTAGGTAGGACTACGAAGGGCTACTGATCAAATTGGTTAAATCGTTTACCATCGATTAAAAAGTCAGATATTCAAATCTTTCATCGATCCGACGTTAGGAGAGAAAAAAAATTAAAAAATGACTAATTGAAAACGAAATATAAAAATTAGATTTTTTTTTTCACTTTTATAAAAAAAAAAAAAAGAATTATTTGGTTTTGTCCTAAGACCATGGGTGTGTGTGTTGAGAGACAAAGGGGGGCCTAATGGGCTGGTGAGGGTTGGAAGAGAAATGGCAACCACATTTGTGTTTATTTTTTAAAAATTATTTTTATTTTTATTTACATAAATTTAAATTTTAAAACTTAAATTTAAATTAATTATTATATAATTCTAATTTTATGTGATTGTTATGAGGTTTTGTGTATTGCATTATTAATATCAAGATTAGATTCCTCTTCACTTTCATTTTGAGAGATCATATTCATTGTATTAGACTAAATAATTAATCAACTCTCCTTAAATTATTTAATTATATATTATTATTATTTTTTTCTTTTTTTAATTTAGACGATGACGTTTATTTAATTATCGTCTAAAATTTTGGACGGTTTTAGATGACTTGATAACCCGAACAATCTCGACCACACAAGACTGGTTGAAATTCTGAAAAATTAAAAATTTGGGTTCGTGAGTTGCCATTTTTTGGGTTTGGTCAACTCAACCAGCTTGAAAATAGGGTTACAATCTAGTCATATCCATTTAAGATTATTATGAAAATTAAGCGTTTATTTTTCGTAAATGATAAAAAAATACTTATATTTTAAAAAAAATCGTCTAAAACGTAGGAGTATTTCAGATGACTTGATAACCCGAACAATCTGGACTACGCAACGAAAACTATAAAGGTTGAGCCGGTTGAAATTTTGAAAAATTAAAAATTTGGGTCAGATTCCGTGAGTTGACATTTTTTTGGGTTTGGTCAACTCGACCAGCCTGAAAATAGAGTATTTGACGTTTGTAACTAATGTCAGTGATGCATTGTGAATGTTTGATATTTGATTTTTATGATATAACATGTATTGTGGTCAAATATAATTTTTTTAAAAAAATAACCCGACAACCCAACCGAACCCGAAGATAGAGGATTAGATTGTAAATTCTATTTAGATTGGTCAGATCACCAACCCAACTCAAGTACACCTATGGGATTCCGCATCGGTTGGAGAGTAGAACGAAACATTCCTTATAAGAGTATGAAAACTTCTTAACAGACACATTTTAAAACTGTGAGGTTGACGATGATACGTAACGGGCCAAAGCGGACAACATCTGCTACCGGTGAGCTTGAGCTGTTACAACACTCCTACTAACATGTTTACTAATGAATGAATTCCTCGTAAATTTAAACATCTAACAACGTTTAATTTTGATTAAAATGATCGAGACCCACGTCCAAAAACATAATTACAATTTAAAAACAAATCAAAAAAATATTTATAATGTCTAATGCTTTTTAAAAGCTTAGCTTAAAAGGATATTCACTTTTCATTTTACAAAAATAAATTATAAAAAAAAATATTTCTATTTTAAGGATAATTATAAGTAAGTTATATAGGCAATGGAAAAAGAAATAAAATAGGTATAAAAATAGAACCTATATCTAAATAAAGTACATTAATTATTAATAATAGCTACCCACTTATTTATTGAACTCATTAATTTGTTTTTATCATTCAATTTATAATAATTATTTCATTTTTAATTTTATTTTTTTAATAACCAATTAGGGTTTTTGCTTAAAATTTGAAAACATAGTACATAATTTGACTTCTCATCCTCTTTTTTACACCAAAAAAGAATAATTTCATGAATAGAAGAAAGTTACTTCAAATTTAGAGATAAAAAGTCAATTTGGGTTATTTAATTTAGCAATGTTCGTGAATTGGGTTAAGTCAGATCGGGACACTTTTTAAACCTAACTCAATTGTTCGTGTTGTAGTGTTTTTTTTTTTTTTTTTTTTTCGATCCAAACAGCCTTTATTAAATAATGAATCAGACCCAACCCATTTCAACCATAAATTGTTGAGGATCATTGGAAGTGAGTCCCCATGTGGGCTAATTTAGGGAATGATCGCGGGTTTATAAGTAAATGAATATATCTCTGTTGGTATCAGACTTTTTGGGAAAGCCCAAAGCAAAGCCATAAGAGCTTATGCTCAAAGTGGATAATATCATACTATTGTGGAGATTCGTAATTTTAACATGGTATCAGAGTCATGTCATTTGGGACCCTCGAAAGTGTAGTCAAAAGTGGCTCAAGTATCGAACAAAATGTGTACTCTGTTTGAGAGCTCTAGAGAAAGGAGTCGAGCCTCAATTAAGGGGAGGCTGTTCGAGGGCTCTATAGGCCTAAAAAAAGGCTCTGTGGTGTACTTTACTCGAGGGGAGGATTGTTGGGAGGGAGTCCACGTACATCTTCACTGGTACAAGGTCTTTTGGAGAAAAAAAAAAGCAAGCAGAGCCATGAGAGATTATCCTCAAAGTGGACAATATGATATCATTGTGGAGAGTCGTGATTCCTAACATAAATTTTTTAGATTGAGTTAATTTGAGTCGTTTATCCAATATTTTATTTTTAATAAAAGTAAAATGTTAGTCGGTAAAATATCTATTTATTTATTTATTAATATCTTATTTCCAACAGCGAAATTAAATTTGATTAATGATATGAGAGGAGGCTTTAATTACACTCATTGTGATTAAAAAGAGAGAATTCATAACAGAAAATGATTTTGTTGAAAAAAAAAATATAATAAATAAATAAATAAATGGTCCCAACTCCTAAAACAGCCTCTTAACAACTTAAACCCAAGTTGCTTTCTCTAAGCTGTTAGCGTAAGAAACAAAAATAATTTATAAATTTTTGTTTTTGAAAATAATAATAATAATAATAATAATAATAATAATAATAATAAAAACAGCTAAAGAGAATGGATCCGACATAATTAACAGCTAATTCACAAGTCAATCAGCTAATCAAATCCCCACTTAACCCTAATCAATCACTAATCTTATTTCTTTTAAGTTATATTTAATAAATCTCTAAATTAAAATTTTAATTTTATATCATCTTTTTAGTACTCTCTCTAATAGATCTTTAATATATTGACTAAAAATTTAAGAATAATAAAATTGTAATTTAAATTTTTAAATGTCTGTCTACATACCACTATTAAATTTACGACAGTTTTATAATTGTCTGAAAATTAATGGTATTGTATGTCACAGTCATACTTGTTCAAGGCGTGTTGTCTGTTAGTCATGCTTGTTCACGATGTGTTGTCCATGGCCGCTTGCCCGTTGCGAACCTTTTTTTACTTGCTTTCATGTTGAATAAATCTCTAACATTCTTGTTCGTGTCAATAATGGGCCTAGGCCGATCCCTTTCGGGATTGACCCATGGGCCTAGATCTAGGTTCTTGTCGGGTATATAGGTCTAGTAGATAATGTATGAAAAAAAAGACTTTCTTAATATGAAAGTCGTAGTAATTCTATATCATGCTTGCTATCATCGAGTCAGACTAGTTAGGATTTTCGATACCGTCACTAATACACGTCGTTCGTCGGGAAAAGACATTTAGAAGAATATAAGCTATGGAGAAGTTGAGTAAAGGTTCAGTTTATGTAGAGAAGTCAATACACTTTGAAACTTACAAAGAATTAGGTGTAACCAGAAATTGCTTCAGATTCTTCATTACCTTTGGCTTGGATTCCCCTTTGCTTAAAGTTGACACATGATGATGCTGAACACCCTGCAAAATCTACAAACAGGTCCGGATCAATTATCGAGCACAATTCACATCAATAAAGCCTTTACCCCGAACGTCATTTGTTCGTCGTATTAAACGATTCAAGCAAGAGGAATCAAGACAGTCATCAAAAGTATATAAGTAAATCATCCGAGAACGAGCGATTCAAGACGAACTTTGAACACGTCAACTTGAATGTAACTCAATAGATTAAGACATATACTTTCATCAACCAAGATGCTCGAGTTCGAATGAACTAAAGAATATAATCATAATTCACATCAATAAAGCATTTACCCCGAACGTCAATCGTTCGTCGTAGTAAACGATTCAAGCAACAGGAATCAAGACAGTCATCAAAAGTATATAAGAAAATCATCCGAGAACGAGCAATTCAAGACAAACTTTGAACATATCAACTTGAATGTAGCTCAACTGATTAAGACATATACTCTCAACCAAGATGCTTGAGTTCGAATGAACTAAAGAATATAATCACAGTTTACAAATTTCACAGGGGGCACAGTATTTTTGTTTGCTTACTTCCTTTTACGAGCCTCAACGCTCGAGTACATCCCATTCGTGTCGTGGACGTTGAAGGGACAGAGGCAACCAATGTAACATCTAGTGTGTTGTGTTCATTTCCTTCGGAATTTCCTAGAAAGAATGCCTACTAAATTAGTGACGTGATGAAACAACACAATTCAATCAATGGCAGACAGCTACACATATGGAACCTGGAACTACAGTGTAATAACAGTCACTGAGAGAGATGAAACAAAGGTGTGATAATTGAAAGAAACAGCGGTGGAGCCTGCTAAGTCGCCTATAGTTCTCAAGTTCTAGTCTATCTCACACTACGCATTCCATAATACCATCGAGTCGACAGACACGACACGTCCAAGGTTGACGAAAAGTAAGATTGGTTTGATTCTTCCTCCAAAACCTGAAAAGCTGTAACGGTGAGTGCGAGATCTCACATAAGTTGGGGAGGAGAACGAAACACTCTTTATAAGGGTGTGAAAACCTTTTTCTAGCAGACACGTTTCAAAAACCTTGAGGGAAACCCCGAAAGGGAAAGCGCAAAGAGAACAATATATGCTAGGAGTGAATTTGGGTCGTTACAAGTGATATTAGAGTCAGACACCGAGCACTGTGCTAGTGAGAAGGCTGAGCCCCGAAGGGGTGGACACGAGGCAGTGTGCCAACAAGAACGCTGGGCCCTGAAAAGGGGTAGATTGGGGGTCCCACATCGATTGAAGAAGGGAATGAGTGCCAGCAAGGACGGTAGGCCCCGAAGGGAGGGTAGATTGTGAGATCTCACATCGGTTGGAGAGAAGAACAAAACACCCTTTTCAAAACCTTGAGGGAACTCCGAAAGAGAAAGCTCAAAGAAACCATATCTCCTAGCAGTGAGCTTGCGTCGTTACAGTGAGACAAAACAAAGGTGTGATAATCGAAAGAAACTGTGGTGGAGCCAACAAAGTCACCTATAGTTCTCAAGTTCTAGTCTATCTCACACTATGCATGCCATAACACCATTGAGTTGACAGACACGACACGACACGGCACGTCAAAGGTTTACAAAAAGGAAGATTGGTTTGGTTCTTCCTCCAAAACCTGAAAAGCTGTAAACATCATCCAGGCGGGTTGATGAAAACTAAAATCAATCCGATACGATGTGTTCGACACTGAGAAACAAGCGTATCGGACTTCTTTATCACGAGATTGAAACAGAAACTGGTGGCTCCATGTTTCTCTAAAATTTGTCTAGGAATATGCTAAACTCAAGATGATTGACAATGCAAGGGACTACCAGCTATCAATAAATAATTCACTCATATCAGCAGCCTACAATGTTCGTCAAGAAACTCGAGCTATATTGAATACAACAAATCTACACAATTATTTCGAAAATCGGAAAGCAAGAGTCAAAAAGTTAAGAGTCCTACCAGGACGTTCGTGTATGAAGGGCGCCAGAGCCAGAGCCAAAGGTCTTCAATGTCTTGTCTCGGTCTCTACCCCGGGTCATTGATGGTGCGACTCATGCAGTCGCTGTTCTGTGTCGATTATAGCGACTTATCTCAGATTGTGAAGAACTTTGAACACCCTCCAATTTAATTTAATGTATAACAACATTGCTTGTTAAGCTCAGGGTGAAAAGTGGTGCCTGTGGATATGATGAGCTCCAGCCTGATAAAGAGTAAGGTGATGTATGGCTTTGGAATACAACTCGTGCAAGTCGGTGTGAGCGAAAACGAGACGAGCCATCCTCTTCATCTCATTCAAGGCATGAGCCTCCTCTAAAGCCTTGCTATTGCCTGCACTCAGTGCAAGATAACATAGCAGCTTTAAGCCAGGCACTTGAGCAGCCTCGTTTTGTCCTAAAAGTTTCATTAGAGGAGGAACGCCATCAAACTCGATAATCGACTTCGAATGTGCTACGCAGTTATAATTTTCAAGGCAAGCAAACTTCCCTAACGCAATGACCGCCTCCAAGGCTACGTCCATGTTTATACTCTTCATCTGCATAACCAAAAGATTGATAATCCGTGATTCCTTAGCAGGAAAAATCCTTGCAAGAGAACCGATTGATTTGATTGCGGGAACTTGCAACCTCGGATCACGTTCCTCTTGAATCAATCTCGAAAGTTGATACAGAATCGCTTTCGGAGCGAGCGAAGTGATCTTAAACGCAACATGTCTAAAGTCTGGCTTCGACTCTGCAACAGCCGTTACCTCCATCACTGTCATCAAGCAATTGTATTGCAAATCCCCTTCTTCACTCTCGATAATCTTCGCCATGCACAACAACCCTTTCGTCTCCGTGATCTTTCGACTATTCGAAACGCTCCCTTTCGAGAGTCTCCATAGAGCTTCAGCACAATTCACCTTAAGCTGAAGCTTAACTTCAGAGCTCTCAACTTCTTTCTCCTTCCTCTGATGGCCTCCTCTGCTACTACCATCAGAATACGAAGAACACGAACCCGACGATGAATTCAAATTCAGTGAACTATTCGAAGCTCTCCCATCAAACTCCTTCTTTATCTCAACCACACTCTTCCCCAAACGAACTTTAGGATCATCCAAAACCATATCAACTTCTTTCTCCTTCCTCTGATGGCCTCCTCTGCTACTACCATCAGAATACAAAGAACACGAATCCGACGACGAATTCAAATTCAGTGAACTATTCGAAGCTCTCCCAACAAGCTGCTTCTTTATCTCAACCACAGAATGAAAACTACTCTTCCCCAAATGAACTTTAGGATCATCCAAAACCATATCAATAGACAAACAAGTAACCAAAGGTTTAGTAACATTCTCTCTAGCAAACTCCTCTTGAGCAAGAGAGCTAAGTTCAGCCATTTGCGAAACCAAATTCGCCACAACAATTTGAACCCTCATGGAGGAATGATTAAGAGCTTGAACAATAATCGGAACCCCAAGAACATCCAAAATGGATTTAACCCTATCAGGAACAGAAGCAACATTAATAAGAACATTAGCAGCAGAAATTTGAGCATCGGGAGAAGCATAATCCTTAAGTAATTTAAGCAATGGCGGAACGCCGCCTTCCTCCACCACGATTTTCTGATTCCGATCGTTCCCACGAGTGAGTAACGTTAACTGATTGGCAGCTTCGAGATTCTTAATCGAACCCATTTGGATTGTGGCAATATTAGGCCAAATATAGGCTAAAGTTGGGTCGTTACTCGCAATCGGAGGCAACCCAACAGAGCCATCGGGATCAAAAATGGAAATAAGCCATTTCATATCGCCGATTGAAGACTCGAGAAGACCTGAAACCTTACGGAAATCGGCAATGGTGGTCATGGAGAAAACTTGCCTGAGAAACCCACTATGGCGGCATTTGCTGACGAAGTTCAAAGCACGTTCGAGATTCTTCGTTACATCGGCCACGATCCGGCGAATTGGGCGCTCGTAGAGCGGCTGCGTGGTGGTGGAGATCAGGCGAACGGTGGCTTGAAGCTTCCGGTAAATTTGGTCGACTTGTTGTGCTATGTCAACGCATTCTTGCCTCGAAGAAACCGCTTCTTGGGCCAATTTCAAAATCTTATCAGCTAACAAAATCGGAGGTGTAAATTCATTAAGAATTGCTCCTCCTTCTTCAGCGGCAGGAGGCGGAGGAACGGCGGCAGCCATCGCTACAACAAGATCAAGAACAACAAAGAAACAAAGGTTACAAGTTCCAAGAATCTGGGGTTGCCCTGAATTTCAGAGCTGAAGTAGCTCGAAGCTTCCTTGGGAGAATTGGAGGAAATGATGAAATGGGTCAATGAAAATTTCTCAAATATCTCAAATTTAGTGGAAAGTCATTAAAGAAAAGGGAGTTTGGTTTAGGAAAGGTGTGAAGAAATTGCAAGGAGTTGACCAGTCAACTATGTATGGTGTAATTCAAATTAATCTCGGATTCTTTTCAAATGAACATTATCGTCATCTAAATTGAACTAAAAATGTTTCATTTATTGAGGGGATAGAGAAAGAGCTTAAATTTGGTAAAATAGATTGGAAATAAATAAATTAATTTTTTTTTTTATTGTATGGCCTCGTGATTGTGTTTGTTTGTGGAGCTGAGGGCAATGATAGAAACACAGACATTCTTCGTGAAGAGTCACCGCAGAGGCAGAGACAGAGAGGCATTTGTCTGTATGCCTACTCCGTCACCCACTAAGAATTAACTCGCCCAATGAAGAATCCAATAACCTATTGAAAAATTAAAATAAATAATGAAGGTTACATTTTAAAATTTCAATCCAAATTAATTTAAAGAGAGTTTATTTTATATTTAAATGGAAATGGTAAATATATTTAATTATATTTGATCATTTATTGGCGTATAGATACATAAGATAAAAACTAATGAAGGGTAAAAATGTCATTTGAGAGTCTGCGCAGCGTAAAAATCTAGGAGTGTTCATATGAGAACCTAACTAAAATGCACTGATTGAACCTTCACTTAAAATTGAGTTAGGTTGGATTTTGGATTTTTTTTTTAAAATTCCAAATTCCTTCGTCAATCTATCATCTGCCAAGCTACCAATGCTAATATCCATCCAAATAAATGATCAACAATACAGCCCATACCAGAAATCAATATGTCAATCTATCATCTGCCAAGCTACCGATGAAGCTATTAGACACAGAATTGAAAGTTTAAAGACGACCAAATGACGCAAACCTAAGAGTTTAAGGACGATAATGGTTCAGGAAGAAATTAAGAAAGCTGTTTCTTATTTGGATTGGGGGTTTTGTAATACTTGTAGCTGATAGATATAGATTTCTGGCAGAAAGGAATATGGGTTCAGCAGCCTATATGATAGAACATTAGAACAGGGCAAACTTGAAAGGAAAAGGCTTGAAAATGGAGCAGTTTTAAGAAGTAGCTGCAGTATAGAGAAAAGATATGAACTACATCCATTTGTAACTTCTATTAGCAGCTACATCGAGAAAAAATTATGAACACTGGAAAGATATTGAACAGTGAACATCAATATATCAAAAAATCAATACCATCAATGATCAGAAGATGTTCTAAGGCTATTATCTACATTGATCCCAGTCTAATTGAGTAAATGACACCAACAAAAGAAACATTCCAGCTGATGCTAGAAAGATGAACTATTAACAACAGCAGATCTATTTGGAGGAAAAATTGCACTGCTTCAATGGAGACAACCTAGTTCTTTGCTAGTAAGTCGGATAAGATCTAACTAGAACACAAGGGCATCTTCAATAATGATAGCAAAATCCCAAAAAGCTACTGAAATTAACAATGTATAAGATTTCAAGTAACATGACAATTCAAGAAACATATTCAAAATTGACTGAGTTCACAGTAAAGAAAGGAAGCTGAAACACGAAGTTTGATAACATTAATCCAATGTCGAATACGCCACAAGAAATATCAAACTAATTTTGAAACAAAATCATAACTAACAATTACCCAATAAACCTAAGCCGTAAGGACAACCGCTCCACCATTCTCTTTGATCTTCTTCTCGGCAATTTTGGAGATGAGCTTGGCTTTCACAACGACGGGCTGATTCTCAGGCAAACCTCCTTTGCCCAAAACTTTGAAATACCCAAACTGAGTAACATCAATCAAAGGGGCGTTATCCTTAGAAGCCTTGTCCTTGACTTCTTGAGGTACGAGAGACCAGAGCTTGTCGACGTTTACAATGGGGCAATAGAATTTGTTTCGGAGCTTGTGGAAGTACCTCATTCCAACTTTGCCGAAATAACCAGGATGGTATTTGTCGAAGAGGATTCTGTGGTGGTGCATACCTCCGGCGTTACCACGACCACCAGGATGCTTACGGTGCTTGCCGATACGACCATGACCGGCGCTCACGTGACCGCGCTTCTTCCTGTTCTTCTTGAATCGGGTCGTCATTTCGTCTGCGACGGTGGAGAATTAGGTTTACGAAGTTGCAGGCAGCTGCGAGCGCGAGGACATGAAAATTAGGGTTTTGATGGAGTTTATAGGACTCGGAACGGAGACTGAACCCTCTGAGGTTTTGGGCCTTTTCGTTTGTCTTCACTGAAGCCCATGAGGTTATGACAACTCGGCCCAAGCCCATATGTCCGATTAGCTCTTTTTATTTTGTTTTGTATTTTTTTTCTTCTTTCTATTACTAATAAAAATAATATTATTAGTATTATCCATTATTTGTATTCTTAGAAAAAAAAAAAAAAAATTGTTCGAATTAAAAAATATTAGATTTTGATTGGATTCGAAATATGTTACAAAATGTATTTATTTTGTTGTATATTGTTAGTTGTTAAGAACAAATAGAATGAGCCCACAATAAAAATAATACGAAGTAGCTAAGTTGAACATAATTCATTCAATAAAAACATAATTCATTCAATAAAGGCACGAGTAAGAAGATTCAAATTTAAATCTAATGTGTACATAACTACAAAACAAGGCGAGGAATTTTAAAAATGCGGAGCAAATGGATAAGTTTTATTCACCGGAAGCTCGATGAGCTTGAACCACGAACCATATTGACCTTTTGGATGGCAACCTGACCAGCTAAAAGATCAACTGAACTTCAGAACGAAGGCACAGTTTATATAGCTCAACTGAGCCGAAGTGAACTATAAGAGTGTAAAAAACCGGTATTCTAAATCAAAAGGTTAGATATTCATATCTTCTCCCACCTCAAGAACTCGAAAACGAAAACAAAAACAAAAGAGAAATAAAAAGAAAAGGTTATATTCATTCATCAAAGTATCATCAGCTCAAGAGGCACATAAATTTGAAGCTATAATGAATGCAAGTGACAGATTCACAATGAACAAAAAAGAAAAATTGGTTTAGTAATACACAAGCAAATTGAGGATTCCAAGGACAAGAAAGGACACAAATATGCAGAGTAGTTGTAAGTTTTAACCAGTTTCCTGCTCAAATTCTTCAGCCTCAGATTCCTCAGCATTGTCGGCATCGTCATCCTCTGCCTCTATGTCTTCCTTATCGTTATCAGCAGTCATTTTGCCAATCACCACCAGGTTGCTGTTTGTCTTCCTGATTTCATTGCACTGCCATGATAGTAATATACAAAAGTGAGGTCTGAACCTTACAAAATTGCAACAGTGGACAAGGAGAATTTCATGGTTTGTTAGTTCCTCCCAACTCGAAGTTTGAATCCAATTGAATTCATGAAAGAGTAGGAATCAAAGTCGAACGTTGATCTAGACACATCTGAATTCAACTGGTTAAGACATATGTTATCGACCAATGGGACTAAAATTTGAATCTTGGGTTGAACTAAAAGAAATGGAAGTCTCTTCTCTTCTTCATTCGAGGCTTTTGGTGGGTAGTTGAATGAAAGAAGAATCATCACGAACTTGAAGTTGGGATCCATTTGAGTTCATGAAAGAGTGAGAATCGAACCTCTTGACAATCTAGGCACAACTAAATTCAACTAGTTAGTTGGAATCCATTTGAGTTCATGAAAGAGTGAGAATCCAACCTCTTGTCAACTAGGCACAACTAAATTCAACTAGTTAAGGCACATGTGATTAATCAATAGGACAAAGATTCGAATCCCAGGTTGAACTGAAAGAAGTGGAAGCCTCTTCTCTTCTTTGTTCGAGGCCTTTGGAGGGTAGCTGAACGAAAGAAGAATCACCACGAACTCGAAGTTGGAATCCAATTGAATTCATGAAATAGTGAGAATCGAAGCCTCTCATCAATCTAGGTAAAACTAAACTCAACTAGTCAAGGCATGTATCATCGACCAATAGGACAAAAATTTGAATCCTGGGTTTCATAGAGAAGGAAGAGAGAAAGTAGTTACAAAAATACAGAATGCACACACAAGAAATCACAACCGCCACAAGAACAGGTACAGCTAAAGACTTCGTGGCTCGAAGTTTTTATAAACTTGGATTTTATGAAGTTTGGAGTCAGGCAAGTGAATTTGTGAAGTATGTTGAATTAAATAAAGGAATGGATAATAGAAACTCAAGTTTTTCAACTGTGTTTGGTGAACGGATTTGTAATCTAGCATACAATATAAGAAGTAGCCCTTGCTGACAAAGCCATGGCCCCAGGACAAAAAACCACTTTGTAATCTTAGGTTACACAAGCCTCGTCCATGGAAAATACTGACACATTGGAGTCACAGGGCTAAGGATAAATATCATAATCAAGCTAATTCTAGGCGGTAACGGGGTCGTGCTCTGAAACAAACACTTCAAGTAGGGTATCAACAAGTTTTCTCTAGGGTTCCTGTCACAAATGAACTTAGTGCTGATGAAGGACTTCAAAGAAAGCAAGTATTCAAGGCAAAGGACCAAGAGAAAACTGTTTCAGATGCAATTGGGAAAGGTGAAAACCTTACAGCTACACAGATCTAATTCAACAAGTCTCTTCCCACTGGTTATTAAAACTATAATACGATTTCCCATGATGATCAAATTTTATCGTGATTTTTGTTGTATCGATTTCAATTTCTTTGAGCAAGTACAGATTTCAATCAATTACACTACCTAGAACTTGAAATTCCATGATATCTGATCTTCTAGAACTTGAAATTCCATGATATATGATCTTCTAGAACTTGAAATTCCATGATATATGATCTTTGCACGTGCATCAAGTAGTTCAATTCTAGGAATGAGGCAAAAATTAATTCGTAGAAACAAAAGATGAGGATTCCATTTAGGCAGAAGAAAACAAAGAACAAATCAGAAATACTCGAACATTTTCCAAAACAATCACAACCAAGAGCGGGCACGCATCGAAAAATTCATAACATGCCGTAATTAAACTAAAATCAACATTCCGATGATCTCAATTAAGTCCAGGCAGGAGGTTATGCAGATAAAATATCGGATAGAAGGAAAGAGTATTAGGGTTTTTTCAAAAGAGAATGGCAAAAACCTTCTCTTCAAAATCAGACTCTTCCATGGCGAGCAGCAGCTCTTCGTTTTGGGGTTGGGGCCACTGAGACGGCAATAAAAACGACGTCGGAATAGTCCTCGTGGACCAAGGGTACTGGGTCATGAACGCCGGAAACTGCAGCATTTTCTTCTCGCCGGAGCTCGAAACTTGAGGGAGAGGAATGAGCTCAGTTGCGTAATACGAAGATCTTCATCGCCGTGTTTATGCTAAATATTTATTTGAAGATAATTTTTAACATTTATTATAAAATACATGATCTAACTGAGATGCGTATCACAGTCATGCTTATTCATGTCCAAGGCGCGTTGCCCGTAACTGTATTTCAAATGTTTTGGTCATGCTTGTTTAGGACGTGTAGTATATGGCCGCATGTCCGTTCCAAATTCCCTTTACTTGCTTTCATACGTAGTTAACTAGGTATTTACCATTCTTGTTGTATTAATACGGGGTGCATGATCTTTCACCAAAATCATATCTACATCCACCAGAACTAAAATGTAGTAGAGTGGGATGTGATTAGTTGTCAATTCTTACTCCCTAAGTTATGTACTATCAAATCTATGATCGTTGTTTATTCATTTTTAGCCTATAACGTACGCATTTTTTTCACTCATGTTTTTCTAAGATATTTATCTCCAACGTGACTCGAGGCTCGATCATATGTCAAGATTGTTTGCAAAATTTGACTTTCACACGGCTAACTTGTCTAACAGGTTAGAACAAGTGCCACACAATCGATGTCCCATTCCCATGAGAGTACAATTGCAACAATGTGCACATAGGATCTCAAGAGTATAATGTCTAAAGTTGGAATAGACATGTCGTAGGACAAATACAAGAAACACCCACAAGTCGAATTTCTTCGGTGGATGTCGAGTCAGTTCGAAAGTCAGTCCCCACAGGAGCATAAACAAAGTGAGCAGGGTCAATAGTAGATCCAGGATCAGTACCCTTCACAAAGGTTGAAGTTATCTTTCTCTAAGTTACTTCGTAGGATTACGAGAAGAGGGAGTAAGTAGCTCGATAAGTCAATGCAACAAAAACTTCATCAAGGTGAGCATGAGGAAGTGAACTCCCTATCGCTCGGAAGTGATCAACATCATTCGCACCGTGATATACATGCAATCAACCCATCTCTAGACATTTGCAATATGAGGTCATGGTGCGAAAAAAAAAGTTGTGGACCAAACCGTACACGATACCCAAATTACAAAATCGTAATGAAATAAAATCGATGATTTTACACCTTATCGTCCCATTTGAAACGGATATCAATTTAAAATCTTTATTATCTGTCCTAAACCACCCAAGAAATTCTTTAATCTTTATCATAATTCTTTTTCAGACACGTGAGAGACATTTCACGTAAACTGTAGAATTGGATATCTCAAATAGGAAGAAAAAGAAAAGCACAGCCAAAAAGAATTTGATTCCATGCGTGTTTTGCTTTGTGGAGATGCAACAAGAACCACAATCGGCGAGGCAAATTAAGAAGGTCTTGCAGCCGACAGCCAATCCAATCCAATCCCACCGACTAATTCCACCCTTTAAGGGTTTTCTTCTTCCTTCCTCCTCGTGTCTTCTTCCCACATATTCCACGTCTCTTCCCATGGCGGCTCTTCAATGCCCCCCTCCTTACCCACTGGGTTATCAATCCTCTGTTCATTGCCTTAAAATCCCACCTACCCATCTACCCATTTGCGCGATTTTCCAAATTTTTCCTGGAATTTGAGTGTTTAATCGAGGTATGAGGCTGTATGTGTATGTATTGGAGGCTAAGAATCTCCTTGTGAAGGACTCGTTTGTGAAGCTACGGGTTGGGAGGCGTAAGGCTAAGACGAGGATTATGAGGAACTGTTCTAATCCTGTTTGGAATGAGGAGTTCATTTTTAAGTTTCGTGATGTGGATGAGGAACTGGTTGTTTCTGTTTATGAGCATAGTGATGAGTCCAGATTCTTCCATGGTTCATCGGGGTTGATTGGTCGGGTTCGGATTCCGATATGGATGGTTGCTGATGAGGATTCACAGACGCTGCCGCCCACTTGGTTTGATGTGCGAAGGTCTGGAACTGAGAAGTTCATCAATGAAGTTGCTGGTGGGGTTTTCTGTTTCTCTTAATCTGTTTGTTTGATGCTGTAGTTTCTTAGTTTGAATCACTTGGAAGTAAAATTGTACTTAATTGCTACGCCCATTAGTTTATTGTTTATGGATGTACTATATGAGGGTGCATGCCCCTGTAAATAATGATTTGTTCTACATGAGATCTCCCCATTCACCCTTGGGCTCAGCTTCCTGCACTCGTTCCCTTCTCTAGTCGTCGTGGGACCCTCCAATCTACCTCTTGGGGCCCAGCGTCCATGGTGACACACCGCTTTGTGTCCACTCCTTCGGGGCTGAGGCTCCTTGTTGACACATTGTCCGGTGTCTGGCTCTGATACCATTTGTAATGGCTCAAACCCACCGCTAGTAGATATTGTCCTCCTTGAGCTTTTCCTTTCAGGGTTACCTGCAAGGTTTTTAAAATTAAAAACCTCTACTGAGGAGAGATTTTCGAACCCTTATAAAGAAAGCTTTATTCTCCTCTCCAACCGATGTGGGATCTCCCAATCCACCTCAGGACCCAGCGTCCCCATTGACACTCGTTCCCTTCTCCAATCGATGTGGGACCCCCCAATCCACCCTATCGGAGCCTAGCATCCTTGCTAGCACACTGCCTTGTGTCCACCTCCTTTGGGGCTTAGCCTCCTCGCTGGCACTTCGTTCACTGTCTAGTTCTGATAACATTTGTAACAATCCAACCCCACCGCTAGTAGATATTGTCCTCTTCGGGCATGCCCTTTCAGGCTTCCCCTCAAGGTTTTCAAAACGCGTTTGCTAGGGAGAGATTTCCACACCCTTATAAATAAAGAATGCTTCATTCTCCTCCTGAACCGAGGTGGGATCTCACAAAAAGTGTGAGAATTTGAACTTCACAAGGGAAGGAGTTGATGCTTATTATAACTATTGAGTTATGCCGAGGTTGGCACATAAACGCACGATAGTTTATCGTATGGAACTTGTGGCTGTCTGTATGGTTGAGAAATAGTTACTTATGTTAACTATCTGCAAATGAAGGTTTCAAAACATTAATACCAAGTTTTAGTAAGATTATCACGTTTGAGTTTGATCTTTCTGCAATTGCTACTGAGCTCTTTGACTATTGTAATTTATGCAGGGAAAGTGCTCCTTATTGTCTCATTACATGGGAAAGTCAATGTACTTAATCAATCAAGTGTTACTAATGCTAAACAATTGGAAGACTCGTCTGCCATTTCACAGGATTTGGTCGGCTCGAAATCTTCGTCCAGCAAGTCTATCAAAGGGAAGTTTAACAAGAAGAGCATCGTGACTCGATTGGAGAGACTGTTCCATAAGAGCGATGAGGATACAAGAACAGATAATTCTTCGGAGTTATCAAGTGGCATATCTGATAACGAAGAGCGCATAGACGAACATCCCTCGGAATGTAGCTTTGATGAAGCGATTGAGACGCTGCAGTCGAGGAGAAGTGAACAGGAAATGCCAGAGAATCTACTGGGCGGCGTTCTTGTCGATCAAGTGTATGTAGTTTCACCTGGTGATTTGAACAAACTTCTGTTTGCTCCAGATTCCAAGTTCAGGAGAGAACTAGCAGAACTTCAGGGAACAACAAATTTAGAAGAAGGAAACTGGTCTTGGAAGCAAGGGGACGTACCGTGTCTATCACGGATCGTTTCTTATCGAAAAGCTGCAACGAAGGTCGTTGGAGCTATTAATGCTACCGAGGAGCAAACCTACATCAAAGGGGACGGATGGGAATTCGCTGTCTTCGTAAACGTAAGTACACCCGAAGTTCCATTTGGTAATGCCTTCAATGTTGAGTTACTTTACAAGATAATGTCTGGTCCTGAGCTAACCTCTGGAGAAGAGACGTCCCATTTGGTAGTCTCTTGGGGCATAAACTTCCTCCATAGTACAATGATGAAAGGGATGATTGAAAAAGGCGTTCGACAGGGTATGGAGGAAAGTTTTGTTCAATTTACGAACGTGCTGGCACAGCATTTAAAAGTACCGAATTCAACCGAGTTACCGAACAAGGATCTTGTGTTGTCGAGATCTGAAAGTGACCGCCAATCGGATTTCGAATTGGCCCGAAAATACTTCTGGAACTTCACTGTAGTTTCTACCGTTTTCGTGCTGCTGTACATACTTGCGCATATTACGCTTTCTAAGTCCAAAACAATGCAAGGCTTGGAATTCACTGGATTGGATTTGCCAGATAGTTTAGGAGAACTTGTTACTGGTGGGATTTTAGTTCTTCAATTGGAACGTGTTTATAAGATGGTCTCACATTTCATTCAAGCTAGGCTAAAAAGAGGTACAAGAAGCTAATTGTTGCTAGCTTATAGATATCTATTTAATGTTTCTGGTCTATACATTAATACCGGCTTTCTCATAATGGCATCATGTCTTTTGCTTTGTATGTTTATAGAAGGTGACCATGGTGTCAAAGGCCAAGGAAATGGATGGATACTAACCGTTGCTCTTATCGAAGGGGTGAACATTTCGTCCTTGGATTCTTCGGGTTCTTCGGACCCGTGTGTGGTTTTCACATGCAATGGTGAAAAAAGAACGAGCTCCGTTGAGCTTCAAACTCATGAGCCTCAATGGAATGGTAAGACATTTTTGCCTCTCCTTGTTAGAATCTCACCTTTTTTATGGGAAAGAATTTCTCGATTTAATGTTCTATTGTCAACAATAAGCCTAAAATGGACGTGATCCCACATTGGTTGGAGAGAGAGAAACGAAGCATTCCATATAAGAGTGTGGAAACCTCTTCCTAGAAAACGCGTTTTAAAACCTTGAGATGAAGCCCAAAGAGGACAATATCTGCTAGTGGTAGCGGTAGTGGAAATTCTCTCGTTCCCTTCCACTGCATAGCTGCACTAGCAGGTACTACGAGCCCTCTGTCCCACGCATCTAACCTGCTCGCGTGGGCTTGAGCGGTTACAAGAAGACTTTTGTCTTCTGAACCAGGATAGTTTTCTTGATTTAAATTACTATGGTTATTATCATTCTGATTTGTTATGTAGTTCTTCATCTCAATACCAACCATTTGCAAGCTTGTTATAGCTAAACCAAATCTTAACGTAACGTGCAGAGATACTCGAGTTCGATGCTATGAAGGAACCCCCATCAGTATTATATGTGGAGGTTTTCGACTTCGATGGTCCACTCGACCAGGCTACCTCGCTCGGGCACGCAGAGATCAATTTCCTAAAATATAAATCAACTGAACTTGCAGATTTATGGGTTCCTCTTGAGGGGAAGCTTGCTCAGTCTTCTCAGTCCAAGCTGCACTTGAGAATCTTCTTAGATAATACCGATGGAGTCGAAACGATGAGACAGTACTTGTCTATGAAGGGAAAGGAGGTCGGGAAGAAGGTAAGCACATTCCTCGACACTTCTTTTTCTTTCCCGAGTCGATTAGTTGTCGAAGGGATGCAGTCCACTTCCATTTTGCTGTGGTGAACGATCTTTCGTTTTATCGTGGCGTTTAGTAGTTTATGATTCTGATCTTGAACCTCTATGCTGGTCTAGTTGCTTCAATGGTGGACTTTGGCTAACTTCTTTCTTGGGTGTGCTTTATTAGCTCCATCCAAGGTCGCCTTACAGGAACTCGACGTTTCAGAAACTTTTCGGGTTGCCAGCCGAAGAGTTTCTCGTCAGCGACTTCACTTGTTCCCTGAGAAGAAAAATGCTTCTTCAGGTACTATCACTGTTGCTATGCAAGTATACTCTTAACACGCTGACCGGAACGGAGCTTCTTTCGAGTCTATTATTACGTCCGAGTTGCTTAAAGCTTATGTTTCTCTGCAACAGGGAAGACTATTTCTATCTGCCAGAATCATTGGGTTTTATGCCAATATTTTTGGACAGAAAACAAAATTTTTCTTTCTTTGGGAGGACATTGAAGATATTCGAGTACTTCACCCGTCCCTCGCCTCTCTGGGTAGCCCGTCATTGGTTATAATCCTTAAAAAAGGTCGAGGTCTCGAAGCAAGTCACGGTGCTAAGATCCAAGACGAACAAGGAAGGCTCAGGTTTTACCTCCAATCATTTGTTTCATTCAATGTAGCCAGCAGGTAACTACCACGTATTTGTTGTCTGTTGTACTGTGTCGACGTTGGACGTTACTTTTTCATAGATGTTAAAGCTGCTGCAATTGTTCGTTGGCAGGACGATTATGGGGATGTGGAGAACAAGAACGTCGACCCTCGATCAGAAAGTACAAGCTTCTGGAACGCCGAATGATTAGGAAGAAAGGTCGGTTTTGATGGTGAATGTGGATTGTTTTTATTGGATATAGAAGATGAAAAATGTGAAGTTTTATGATGCAGGATTTCATGTAAATGTTAACGGGTTTTAAGTTTGAAACGAACTTTATGGCTGACATTCACCCTGGTTGATGATCAGATAAAGTCATTCGATGAAGTTTTTTTTTGGAGGATGGCAAGGTAGAGCACGGAGTGTACAGAACAATCAGGAACAACACGATAGCTCGAGGTAGAGCACGGAGTGTACAGAACAATCTGGAACGACACGATAGCTCGTGGGAATTCATGAGACCTGATATCACATTCGAAGTTACATTTCTACCCATCCAACACAGCATTCTGGCATTAGGAGGAGGTTGGGTTCGATTCTTGGCCGAGCCAGTCCGGGCGGAGAAATCCAACATTGGTTAGGAGGAGGTTGGGTTCGATTTCTGGGCCGGGCCAGGCCGGGCGGAGAAATCCAATATGGGTTAGGAGGAGGTTGGGTTCGATTTCCGGAGGAGGTTGGATTCGATTTCTGGGCCAGAAGGGACGGAGAAATCCAACATCGATTAGGAGGAACCTGGACGGAGAAATCCAACATCGATTAGGAGGAGGTTGGGTTCGATTTCTGGGATGGCGGAGAAATCCCATTAGGAAGAGGTTGGGTTCGATTTTTGGGCCAAGCGATGAAGAAGATTCAGCAGGAAGAGTTTTCCGTCTCTTTTCGGATTATTACTGTCGTCTCTCTTTTTCGTGATATCGACCTAAATTCATATTTAAATCGAGCATGTCTTTATTTATATTTAATTTATCGATTTAAATTCATATTTAAATCGAGCATATGTCTTTATTTATATTTAACTTATTGACCTAAGTTCATATTTAAATCAAGTATGTCTTTATTTATATTTAATGTGTAATTTTAAATTCATATTTAAGTTGCCTATATCTTTATTTATATTTAACTTTAATTTTTTTTAAATGAATGTGTAATTTTAGTTAATTAAAATTATAAATTCTATAAAATATTTAAGTTAAATATTTGAGTTAAATTAATTAATAATCATTTTTATTTAATAATAAGGTAAAATATTTAAGTTAAATAGAAGAGTAAAACATTATTAAATATACAGACTTATTTATTTTTTAATTTTTTAATTTAATTTATTTTTTTTTTTTTTTTTTTTTTTTTTTTTTTAA